TGATAATTTACATCCTGGATTAAATCACAAGCATCATAGCAGTATCTCAGATTAAAAGGAGGACATGGATGCTAAATTTCTGTGAGAAAATAAATTTTTTAAATGCCATATTTAATGCTGTGTAGACAAATCTATATGGCAGGTTTTTATTTTCTACCCTTAAACCTTATACAGAATTTATTGTCTGGGATCAAAAACAGAAGTGGAAGAACAACCATAATAATAGGAGAACAAGAATGAGAGAACAGATGCAACTAAGCCGTAATTACAACCGTTATTGTGATTTATTCTTTGCTTTTTTTCTCTAACTTGATGCAGCGAGGCTTTTAAATAACCTGAAGGCATGGCTCTCTGTTGGCTGTGGGAAATCAAACTGGTTTAGACGAAGCAGTGGGACAAGTTTTATAGATAATCATGACTGGAAAGTGGCCAAACTGTTCTGAGTAATGCTGTGTTTTACTTACTTCTTCTGTGAATCTTCATGTGCTCCTTAAGGCTGCACTTCTGATTGAACCGCCGTCCACAGATCTCGCAGCGGTACGGTTTCTCGCCGGTGTGAATCCTCTTGTGTCTCTCGAGGTGCCCGGCGCGTTCGAAGCACTTGCCGCAGTACGGACAGATGAAGCCTTTCTTGAACATCAGCCTCTTCACCGTTCGTCTCCGAACCGTGTTCCTGTACTGGTTGTAACCCATAAGCCCTCGGCTGAACGGGCTCTGAGGAAACCCGCCCGACGTGCCGCAGGACAAGACCAGGCCGCCGTCCAAAGGCGGCTCAGAGAGACAGGAGAAGGAGTTCTGACCTAAACTTAGGTAGTCAGAGCTGCTGCCTCCGGCCTCCTTCTGTGTCCCTGATCTCCACTGGCCTCCTCCGTACAGAGACCCTTCCAGCGGCGCTCTGCTGTCCTCACTTCTCTGCTCCACGGGTTCACATTTCACCTGTACTTCAGGTACGGATGGCAGGCTGTGCTTTTCATCAGAGGAAGCCTTTTCAGCCAAGATCTGCTCATTTCCAACACCCTGATGACTTTCTGTAAAGAAAAAAAGAGGAAACTAAAATGAAACTGAGGTGATTTATTGCACCTTTAGCACGGCCAGCATTGAGTCTATGTTGGATAATCATGTTCATTGTATTTTGCTTATACCATCCAGTATCGCAGTAGTTTGGTATCCATCATCTATTCTATTATTTACTGCTGAGGTTTAAATTGATACCTGCATGTAATAAACAGGGGTGGATTTAGGAAATTTTGGGCCCTAAGCAAAAACAGGCATGAATTGAGAAGACAACATATAAAACAGACCCATTATACAGATACAGAAATGTTAATAGAATAGACATGCATTATTTGTTCTAGGTTTTGTCCCTCTCTTCTTGTTTTCCTCTCTATGTTTTGTACTTATGACTTGACTTTTCATGCTGTCTCAAAAGAAATTAAAAAATGTTTTCCAAGCACTAAGCTCACTTAGCTGATTGCTCCTTCCTGTGTTTCCATAAAGGCGATGGCAAAACTAAATAACCCAGTCCTTCTTTTCACTGTAGACGAGCCATGATCTGCTTATCTGTTCTCCATTTTTAATTTGGATGAAATAATCGCTGCATGAATCATGACAGCAGACAAGATAGAGGAGAGCAGGAGGCGGGGTTACCAATCTACTTGCTCTGGAGAGCAGAGTTCGCTGCTTTTAGATGTTGTTGCCAAAGTCTCCAGTAGCAGAAAAAAGTCGCTAGATTTGGCGCTAGGCACTTTTTGGAAATAAAAGCAGAGGGGTCTGAAAAATATAGCGACAAATACGCTAAGTTGGCAACAGTTTGTTTTCAAATGGTTTGCTGCTGTCTGTTTGGACCTGAACATGTGCAGCAAATGGACATTCTGCGTTCTGATGGTATTTTAGCAAAATCATTTTTATTAAAAACATAATAAATGTGCACAAATAAGGAATAGTTGTATTAAATATACATGTAAACTGAGTTTTTATGGGACCTCCAGGAACTTGGGGTGCTAGGTAACTGCCTAGTATTGCCTAATGGTAAATCCCCCTCTGGTGATAAACATGGGCCCCTGGAGAATCCATTAGGTTTCCTCTGACTAAATCAACAAAGCATAAACTGGTTGATCCAGTTCAGTTCTGCCATTATGGGACCTCTGGGGATTAAAAGTGAGTTGAAGACATTTGCATTTGATAAAAAGAAAACAAACTCACCATTTTTCTATACCCTACTAATTCAGCTTCTTTCACATTATTCATACTCATTTAAAATATTTCTATATAAAACAAAGAGCCACCTACTTTATTACACATGGAGTCATTTAATTATTAGAAAGAGTCAATCTGAGTGTAAATTAGCAAACCAACAGCATCAGCATTTAGGAACAAAGCAGACAGATGGGTCATTAGGATGTGCAGACATTTAAAACAGGCTTCTTCATACCAATCCAATAGTAAGATGAAAGGAAAAGTCCGCTCATATCCAGAATTCAAACTTCTGAAAGTACTTTAAATATGAAATGATTCTATATTGTAATAATTTTCATTTGAATGTGCTTTACAGGAAGCATCCATGTTTGTCAAAGAACACTACTGCCACCTTGTGACGTCACGGTGCGGTATCGGCTGTTGATCAAGTCCCAGTGCTGTATCTGGTGTTTGTCACAACGCGCTATTATCCAAGTCATCTTGAAAACATTCTTCTTCCAAATGTTGGCTACATATTACGTCTTTTTTCTCTGGCCAGAAGTTCAATGGTGAATCCTCCCTCTTCAAGTTGGCAATCCAACGATGAACCTGTCCCTGGAGGATCAGGAATCACAAAGCTGGAATAACTCTTTTTTTTCACTTTTACCCGATGTATTACAACATCCAGCTGCCATGCACATGGGCATTGTCAGTTTCACTATAGCTCTGGTGAATTTCAATGGTGAAGTCCTCTGGAAATCTTCAATAATTGTTGTTGATTGCAGATGTTTCTAGTCATTCCCATTGATTTTGCTTGTAAAGCAGGAGAGAATGGCGCTAGGCTTACCGCACCGTGACGTCACTGCCAGAAAATGTAAGGAGGAGATACTATATTTGGGCAAAAATGGCTGCTCCCGGCCTCACGGATCGCAACGAAAATTATTGTTCTCATTTTTTTACTGATTAATGCTAAATCCATTAAATCACTGCAAAATTATTAGTTTTAGGTATAGATAACGATCCACTAATCATTCATTGCTGACCGGACTTCCTTTAAAGTAGCAATAGTAACTGGAGGAGCTGTAGAGTCACAGCTCAGGTAGGAAGAGCTGCTGAAAGGGAAACTATTTTGTTGTGAATCCCCAACAATCTGGGCCGAACCAAAGAGCAGCAAACCCCTAAGCTGCTGTCAAGACAAAGCCTCAAGGAGACTCGACAAGAACATCTTAGAGATACTTCAGACTGGATGGAGTTTCCCCCTCAGGCAGGACAATGACCCTAACAGAACAGCTGCTGCTACAATGGAAGAGTCTAAACAAAAGAATGGGTGAAAAAAAGAGACATTTCACCCATTAATTTGTTTCATTTTTGCTAAACTGAGATTAAGTCACAGAGAGTGATATGAGCCAAAAATAGTGCCCGTCCTTTCAAAATGTTTGTTGACCCTTTAAAGACTTATCTGCTTCTGCCTGAGATATGAAAGAGGAAACTAAAACTGGGCCATCTGCTGCAGAAGATAAAGGGAATGCATCACTGGATATAATCAAAATGTAGATAAGTGCATTTTTTCTTAATATAACCGCATTTTTTCTTGGATTGAGGAGAAATTTTGCAAATGGAACAAGATAATTTACACTTAAAATAAGAAAAAACTACTACATTGCCTTATTTCAAGTGGATGTTATCTAATTATCTTATTTTAATAGTAAAAATACCCAATCCATGGCAAACGACCTCATTTACCTACTGAAATTAAGGGTAAATACACTTAATTTAAGACATCTTTTACTATTATCTAGATAGTTTTTCGAGTGCAGCTGATATCACTCCATAAAGGAGGCTTGATGAAGCTGATTTAGAACAGGACCTAAAACAAATAACAATATAAACTCAAACAGGTTATGGAAACATGGAAAGCATGTTTGTAGAATTTTTTCTTTCTATACAGATAAAAAACCATTTTATTTTCCACTTGATCTCAAATTAGATCCTCTATTAGACACAGATCATTTAAATGCATGGAGGAAATGAGCTAAAACCTTGATTCAGAGATGTAGATGTGTCTTAGAGTAGTTTTAACTTCTGAATAAATCATTTCTGACATGTCTGATGTGTTTTCTTCTCACCGTCTGCTCCGCGGAGCTCCGGGGGCCGCCGGCTCTCCGCCTGCCGCGCCGCCCTCAGCTCTCCATGCAGGACCTCCATGCTGCTCTTCAGCCTCTCGATCTCATCCTCCCGCTGACACATCTCCAGCCGCAGCACCACCATCCCGTCCTCCACCACTTTGGAGATCTCCGCCACGGCTGCTTTGGCCAGAGCATCGATCACGGAGGCGATCTGGGAGCGCAGAGCCACGCCGTTCAACATAATGAACGGAATCCCTGAAAAAACGGGGCTAAACTTTACAAAAAAGAAAAAAGAGAGGAAGAAGCGCCTGGATTCAGGTCTCCTGCTTGCAGGTAAAGAGCGATGTTAGGCCCGCTAAGCGCTCACAGACCACCTCTCCTTCCATTTAATCTGTTTGTCATTTTTATCAAGCCAGCTTTTAAGCTAGCAACAGTTACTTGGTGCCATCAGAGGACATAAACAACGCGAGCTCTCGCTTTACGGAAGTGATGACAACAAGAATACCGTAAAGTGTAGAAGAAAGACGCAACTCTTTTAAGGTAGGGTAAGTGTCTTTTTTCTTCTTTGTTTTACTGTATTGATAAAAAAAAACATTAATTTACATTCAAGTAGCAATCTCCACTTTTCTTTCTTACAAAAAAAGAGAAAATAACAGTTATTTACAGGAGATCAAATTAACTTGTAATAAATAAATAATCAGGCAGTAATAGAACAAATGGAAACATACAAAACTTTAAAAAAATTACATTAAGATAAAAGAGACAGACTCATTCTGAAACAAGACAATTCCTTGCATCATTCTAACTAGTATTTTGTTGAGTCAAAAAAAAATATGAAATTTTGACATTTCACTACATAGTTTTAGTATATGTCCATAAATGTCAGTTAACAGAGATAAAGATTAATATAATATTTTGAGTTCGATTTTTTAAATTTATTAATGAAGGTTCATGATATATTCCCATTATTATAACAATATTGGCCATGTCGGATAAATCCTTCGCAATGTCATTCTTGCCATTTTAAATATTTAATATTTTCCTATGTTACCTGAATCATTAATTATTCGAATTTTTGTCATTCCAGTAAAATTATGAGAGGTTTAACATTTAAAGGCTGTCCCTATAAAATGATTGTCACATTTTTTTAATCACTAATAGGCAATTGCTCAATTTCCAGTTCTGGTAAGAGTCCTTAATAAAGTGTAGGGAAGAAGCATTAAGGACACTGAGATAATTCAATCAGAAATCTGTAAATATGGGTTTATTTCCATGGATTACAATAGAATCTTAGTGCGTATAGAAGCAGTAGCTCCAGCTGCAGTGCCCACCATTACAATCAACTTCCCCTCATGTGTTTTCAGACTGCGCTTTGCTTTGACCTCAATCTTCTGAGGTCTGGCTGTTCTTCTAAGAATTGAAAAAAACAGCCAGTTCCTTTAGCAGAGATATTTTGTGGCCAGCAGGCTTCTATTATTACGAGTCTTCTACGAAATTCAAATTTTCACAGAAGTGGTTTATTAATTTCCTTTTATTTATTTTTTTCAGCCATAACCACTGATACAAGTTAAAAGAATTAAAAAATCAAATATAATCAGGTTGTTGTTAAGGATTCTGTACCATACACAAGTTTGACTTTTTTATTTTTTTTTTTATGATATGACTTTGGAAATAAAGCTTGGAAGCTTAAAAAAAAACAGGAAACCTGTCTTCATTGGAGATAGCATTAAAATATTTTTACTTTGAAGGATGCATCATGTAAAAAACTTCATAAATAACATAATAAAACCCCATTTTTTAAGTGAAAATGGCTTTTTGCCATTTTTTATTAGTAAAGGATTATTTTATTCCAATATATACATGTAATACAAATACATATCACAGAAAACGTGGATAATTACAAAATTACATTTTTGTAATTTGCAAAAGTATAAAAAAAAATTGCTAGAAAATATGCGAAAGAGGAAAAAAAACTTTTCAATAAAAAAATCAAGTGAAGCATTTTTCTATCTTTCAACTTATTTTTTTGCAGCTTTTATATTGTCATTACGCTGTCACAAGTTAAGACCAATGAAATGAACTCTCTGCATTTAACCCATCCCCTTGGGGAGCAGTGGGCTGCCATGGTGCGGCGCCCAGTGAGCAGTGTGGGGTTAAGGGTCTTTGCTCAGGGACCCAGAGTGGCAGTCTGTGGGAGTGGGGGATCGAACTCAGAACCTCTGGATTCCATGCTCTAACCACCAGGCTGTCACTCCCCTTAGTTTAAGACAGGAAATATTTCTTATTTTCTTTATCTTTTTCTCAGTTGGTAACAATAAAAACTAATTATTAATTACGGTAATCATCCACACCTCACCTATTTTAATAGGCAATAATTATCACTATTCACAAATATGTTCATATTTTGGGTTAAAAATATTAATTATAAAAGATACGAGTTTTCTCTTTGTCTAAAGGGGGGAATTAAGATTCAAATAGAAGACTTTTGAGAATTAAATTCGAGGCCAGAAAAAAAAAAATCTATGATAAGGAACTACTTTACGAGATATTCCTCTGAGTTTCTTCTCATTTTCCACTTTTTTCTATCGCAAATCTAAATAAAATCCCAGCCATTAATGATGCAACTCAGTAGAAATTCACAATATGAATGTCGACAATAAACCTGGAAAACCAGGGAAATAAACCCGACAATAAACCCAGAAATGGGGAAAAAAAGGAAAAAAAAAGGGTCGGAAAGGAAAGTCTATGTTAAGAGAAAAAGCACTGAGACCAAAGGTTTACAAAGTACTAAAGGTTTTTAATGAAATCCGTGTATTTCATAAGTCATTAATGAGCAACATCCAGACAAAACAAGGTTATACATCAACAGGATCGACTAAAATCAAGACAAAAATCTGCCTTTTATTCCTTATCTAAACCTTTCTTTTAAAAGATTGCAGACATATTGTCCATTCCTCGGTCTGAATCTGATTTCTGCATTGTAAATGGTTTTTACATTTAATAAATAAAGTCGACATTTTTCGCTAAACCGCTAAAAGTGAATGGATTTAAGCGCTACCTTCCCCGCAGGTGGATAACCTGGTGGATTTTGAGGTTTCCCAGCACAGTGAAGCTCTTGCCACACTGCCTGCAGCTGAACGGCTTCAGCCCGCTGTGGAAGCGCTCGTGCCTCATGCAGTTATCCTGCCTGGAGAACCTCTTGCCGCAGATGCTGCAGCTGAACGGCCTCTCTCCCGTGTGGACCCTCTGGTGCGTCTTTAGCCGGGTCTTCTGGGTGAAAGACTTCCCACATTCAAGGCACCTGAAAGGTTTGGAGGACTGGTGGCTACTCTTGTGCTCCTCCAACTGAGACAGGCGAAGGAAACCCTTGTTGCAAACCGAGCAGATGTAGACGCTCTGATTTGCTCTCCACGCAGTCATTAATCTTTTTGGTCTGCTGTTGATTTTGTTGTTAATATTTTCTTCATTTGCTCCCGATGCTCCTGCTGTGGACTCCTGGGCATGAGGCAAAGCTGCTGACGGTCCTGCAGACTCCATACAATCCCCCTGGATGACGCCACCATGCAAAGTGTCTGTGTAACCAGACTCAGGAAGCGCAGAGATCTCTGCTTTTATGGGCAGCGTAAAGCAGTCGTCTGCTCCTTCGGTTGCCGAGGATGGATATGAACTCTGCACGTCTCTGGAGGAAGGATACTCTTCGACATTAGAGGGAAAAATCTGCTGCTGGAGGGCGACGGAGCTGTTCTCAAACACATCACAGGCGGGCCAGACGGGGTCGCCTCCGTTTGCTGCGTCTCTCGCTGCGTGCTCGGCTGTTTCATCGAAGTGAAGCTCAACTTCTTGTTTCACAGCTGGACTGATGTGAGGCTCACAAAGGGAAGCAGCAGGTTGTTCTTCAGGGTATGCTCCATCTGTTTCATGTTCCTTTATCTCTGCAGCCAAAAGAAAACCACAGCATATGCAGTCAATCTGAAATGGCACAAACACTGACATCTTTTTTCACAATAATGTTCAATGATTTTTTTTTTTATACAGTTTGTTTGGCTTTTATCATCACAGCAAAAAACATATGGTATTCTGATTAAAAATATCTATGTTTATTTCCTGTATCTGTTGAGGATTGGGGCCACTGAAAAAAGAAAAGAAAGTTAACTGATTTTTACATTTTATTTCAGTATAATATGGGAAAAAAGTCAGAATTCGGACTTTAATCTT